ACCCTCGGCGGGAGCGCTGCCACGCTCCCAAGCGGCGCACTCTCCAGTGCGCCACCAGGCCGGCCCCAAATATGTATTTCTTATTATATTACACTATTACATCCGTATCACTGATATCTCTTTTGGTACTTTTTCAACTGTGGAGGCGTGGCAGAGCTGGGATTATAGTACTGACAAAAGTGGAAGAGGTCTGGAGATATGAACGGGGGATATACTTTTAAATATCTTTTCAAAGCCCAAACTTGGAGATGAAGGTCTTGGGGGCAATTCAGGCAGCTAAGGGGACAAGGCCTTTTCTCAAGACTGCAGGAAAATGTTCCTCTTTCTCTCCTTGGCTACTTCCCTCCTGCAGTCATCAAGCTAAGGTAGTATTGACATCCTCTCCCTTCCTCCCAGCATTCTAGTCTTCCCTCAGTGCTTCAGTCATCTTCATAATTGTGATCATCATCTCATCACTATCATCAAAATAGGCCTTCCTTACTCACCAATCACCTAGATCTTCAAGAATGAAGCAAGGAGAGCCATTCCTGTTAGATCACCTGAGAATATTCTTACTTGTGTGTAACTCTCTGTTGACTTAGGTTTCATCTTAGTTAGTTAGAGATGCTCCTGTCCCAAGCTGGGGTGATTCCCGAGCCTTATGCTACCTACAGGACATGAATGGTAATGGTAATAGTACTAAGATTTACAAAGTGCTATGCACCAGATCCTGTTCTAAGCACTTTTACATAATATTAACTAATTTAATTCTTACAATTCTGTGACATGGATACTAATTATTATCCCCATTTTACAAATGAAGAAACTGAGGCACAGAGATATTAAATAACCTGCCCAAAGCAAGTGAGTCAGCTAGGACCAGAACTCAGACATTTGCCTCCAGTATCTGTGCTCTTTATACTACTTTTACTATTGCTTGCTCTTTTTTTTTTGGCAGCTGGCTGGTACAGGCATTGAACCCCAGACCTTGGTGTTATCAGCACCATACTCTAATCAACTGAGCTAACCAGCCAGCCCCCTACTACCTTGATAATGGATTGAATGAGTGAAGGGCAGCCAGATTGGTTGTCAAGGATGTTTGTTGTCCAGCCTAGCTTAGAGGGCAGAGAGGGCAGAGCTTTCTTTGAATGAGCTCAGGCATACATATTTGGTTCCTCATAGTCCAGACTGGTAAGATCTGGATCCTCTCTGGTACCTCATCCTTCCAGGGAAGTACCAGATCCTGGCTTTACCTGACTGTTCTAGCAGACTCATCCCAGAATTTTATCAGTGCCTTGGTCTCCTTATCCAGCTGCCTCCTCTGGTGCTCCAGGGAACCTGTGGCCAGGCTCTCTGGAATTAAAAGTGGTTTGAAGTGAAATGAGTATAGAAATGGGACTCAGAATTTGGGAGGTAGGGCTGATATGTGGGCCTAGAAAGAAAAAGTCCACAGGCTTAGGGTATAACAGTGAATCAGTGTGCATATCCTGAAACAAAGCTAAACTCTTCTCTACCTCATGGGAGGATCCCTGGCCTCATTTATTCCAAGTTCTCAATAGGAGGATGTACTGCCCTCTAGGGGATATTTTGGGAATCTGTGGAAGGTATTCTTTGTCACAGCACTAGTATGTGAGTTTGTGTGTGTGTGGTGGTGGTTGTGGTGGTGGTGGTGGAGGTTCCTGGTATTTAGTATCCAGGAGCCAGGGATGCTGGACAATGCTACAATGATGAGGCAGTACTGCACAAAAAAGAATTGTCCTACATCCAGCATGACTTTTAAAAGTCCCATTGGATCTTAATGTACATGAAAAACCTGTTCTCTGAAGGAACCTAGAACCCAGCTCCATTTTACATATAAATGCAAAGTATTTTTTGCATTGTTTTAAACTGTGAATTTCCCAGAAATGCAACTAAAGTGCAGATTGGAGGAACACTATAAAGTAATTTGTTTTGTTCAGAACCCTACCAAGAGTTGTTTACAATTTCAGAAATCCATGTCATCAATGACAATGCTACTTGTGATGTCTGAGTCGCTGATATCTATGCTCCTATCAGTCTGCATTTGTTGCTGTTGTATTCACAGTGATTCTATACATAGATTCGAAGCTCTGACTTCTACATTATATGCTTCCAGTGTAGTTATGCCTGAATATTACATATTAAAATACTTGTATTTTTATTTTTAAATACTTATAATTTTATTATAAATTAATCTCTTATTTCACCTTTATAATACAGTTAGAGCATTATATTTATTTTTAAAAGTCAAGTATATAGGTTATATTTCATATGAATTTCATTTCAGGATAGTAAAAGGGGTACTGGGAACTATTGTCCTAAGATTTTGGAAAGCCATCCAGCACTAGTCTGAAGATTCAGGAATTCTGTCTTTCTCCTGCTTCCACCCATAGTCTGTCTAAAAAGAGTCTCCCAAACCTCACTGCCAAGCTGTAGGTCTTTACCGTGGGCTGGACACTCAAGAAGGGACTGCAGGATTGATAGTGGAGTCTCAGCTGGGACCATGC